GTTAGAATTTGGAATTTAAATTATTATTTAAAGCCATTCACACGTATGCATTTTGTATCTGTCCACTATACCCCTCAAATAGTATTGAATATTGTAATGTATTCAAGTAAATGGTAATATACTGCACCAATATCAAAGCAAACAAGAAACGGCAATTCAAACTGCCTGCAAGGTAGAACATCAACACTCCAACCGATATCACATTCAACATCCCTAAAATGCAAATCATATTGATCCCCCTTAAAACAAGAATTTAAACAAAAGCCACTCACTGAATACAACTATTTTACTCGCAAGAACACAAATATACTGACCATGCCATGTAAAATTGATGACACAATATTTATAAAAAAAATAAATACATACATAAGTGAAAGGGAACCACAGAAATTCACTAGAAAGAAAGAAGAGGAAACTGCCGGGCCTTGGCCAGCTCGGCCTAGCCCATGTTGGAAATATGCCCTAGAGGCAATAATATTATATTATTAATTTATTATATTTTCATATTCATAATTAAGAGTTTATATTCTATGTTATAACTGCTATGATCCTGAAATATGCGATTCAATGTAGAACTCATATGCATTGTGGAATGATAAACGGTAAAATAAGATTCCTCATCTCGCCTCTAAGATTAACCCAAGTGTTGTTTGCAATCATGTTTTCCAGATATTAGGATATCGTTAAGTGTAATAATAGTCCTAAAACAACATCCAGAGTATGACGTTGGGAGAAAGATCATATTTAATCGACGCAAACTTGTTTGTTATACTTTGAGATAATATCGTCAGAAACCAATTGTTATAAAACGGAGTGTTAATGTGTGATTTAGTTCCTTAGACCATGAGAGTATTGTAGTCATTTCTTACCATACGATGAACTTTGGGGTTGCTGAAAGGCGATCTGTAACACGGTAATCATAACAATAACTTACAGGTTCATCAAAAAGTTGGACAAGGGACAAGATAGCTCGAGAGTGGAATTTGCTCCTCCGACGATGGGGAGATATTCTTAGGGCCCTCTCGTTGTGACGGCATTTATCATCGTTTGGCAGACACAAATGACTATGTCACAGGGATGCCGGAACATCAACGAGAAAGAAGAACAAAATCAGTAACGAGGAGAATGGTATAGTGAGCATGTGTATGACTCAAGATGGTACATATATATCTCACCTCGGGTTTTTGTAAAGTATCGCGAAGCAAAGGGAATAGCACATGATAACCACAGGTTCACTCGGATGTCATTCATGTACTCATAGGGATCAATATGGACGTCCACAGTTCCGCTATCGGTCATTGAACGAAAGGGGTTCCGTTCATGTCTATGTTTTACCGGACTTACAGGGTCATAAGCTTAAGGTAATCATGATCTGCTGAGTGTTAGTAGGACATGAGTAGTGAGAAAATATTTATGAAATAGTTTCATTAATATTCGAATAGTTTCGAGAGTAACCAGAAGCATTTCGGGGTCACCGGAAGGACAACAGGGTTTACCGGGTAATACCGATAAATTATATATATATATATGTGAAAAAATAGTTTCCGATGATGTTAAATTAATACTAAAAGACTCTAAATATGATAAGGAGGCCTTTTGTTTTTATTTAAATATCAACGGGCCTTAAAAGGTCAAGTGGTGGAGAGCTACTTGGGTCACTTAGACCCAATAGTGTTGGCGCCCCCTTTC